CCTGAGCGGTGAACTAATTTTCGGCAGCCGAAATTTCGGTGCATCTCTAATTATTGGCAACATCAGAAATGGATATTATATAATAGATGCTTTTTTGAACATTTTAGCAATTTAAAAATATAAAAAAATGATTTTTTACACGGCACCCCTGCTCTCGACAGACGGCACCCCAGTTGGGAAACACTGGTCTATGGTATGCATACATGTTTGAGGGCGAGTAAATCACACAATTTTCATTTTTGGGTCACCAATTCCTTTAAATACTAATGCAACCGTGTATCTTTCGTTTTAAGTGTCAAATTATATGACTATAAACCCCACCAGGAGTTTATATTAAACAGCAATGCTTCTGGAATCTGAAAACCACCAAAGCCCAATTTTCTGCACATGAATGATCGGTGGAGAAAATACTTCTGCTTCCCAGCTCTCTATAACCTTACCAGTCAAACATGCTGCACTGGATAAGTCATAAATCAAAGAGCACCTGAGCTCCTGGCTCAGACCTTCCTACAGCACAAGTCTGCAGAGGGGAAACCTCATCCTCAAGGACACAGCTGAATTCAGTCTTACAGAAGCGTCTCTGAGGAGGAATGTAGGCATTCAGGTCTATGCAGGAAATAAAAAAATCCTCAAACAAGACGCAAGGATAAAGTAAAAGTCAGAGTCGCCTCTGCAAACTCTTGCTTCCGCATGCAGAGATGACTTTTGTCAATAATAAACGTGCATTTTTCAGACCATTCTGCCATCTTGAAGAACTCCCATGATGCCCTGCTCTCAAACCTGCAGTGACTAAATGCAGCTTGAATGTTGAAGGAAGAGTTCAACCAGAAATAGACTCACCAACATTCAAATTCATAATGATTCTGGGTTTGGTCTCTTCCTCATGCGAAGCTTTAGACAATTTGGAAGTCCTATGGAGCTTGGAACAAAATAAGGGTGAATTTTCATATTTGGATGAACTATTCCTTTTACATAACTCGATCACATTAGCAGATCAGGTTCACTGGGAAATCTGCCATTTGGTTTGAGTGATCCAATGGACTCCATGCAGCTTAAAGTCAATATAGTGCAGACACCTAAAAAGTAGGGCTTCTAAAATGCTGCATTATAGGCCAGTAAAGTATTTAACCCAGAATAAAGGGCATTCTTTGTGAGCCTTATGTAATTCGCACATGCATTTAAGACCTCTGAGAAATTTAAACAGCCACGACACATTGTTTAATAACGTCAATGCACTTTGGTTGCATCCATGAAACTACTCCATCTTCCAATTAAAATAACCGTTTGGGAATACAGCTTACATAGCTCTCAAGGAACCATTTGCAAAAATTAAAGTTTCCCTCTGAGGTTAAATTCAAATCTGAAATCTATTTTGACTAGAAAGACGGCATACGCTAATTCTACACTAAAGTCCTGACAAAATAAGTTTGTCTATCTAAAGGGACCATGCTGTATAGTTATGATCTATGTGATAGAATTTCTTCCCCTTCTAAAATCTGGAGGCAATGGAATAAAAAATATAAATATGCTTATGTTTTGCATATCAAGGAGAACCATGCTCAAAAAGGTGAGCCAGCATTTTGGTAGGCTGGACCAGGAAACCTTCAGACCCGTGCGCACAGCGGTGTGGTCGACCTGAAGCCACGTAACATGCACGTTTACGGCATCAAGGCTTTGTCGGAACAACCCTCTCTCACAAAAAAAGAAATAATAAAAAGAAAATTTTTCCAGTTACAAATGACATTACGTCCTGTTATCTGCTAAAGGCTAATGCCGCTAACTAAAAACAAACATACGTTAGATGACAGTCTGCTTCTACATTACAAATTAAAAAGGCAGTGTCATGATTCACACAAAGAGAGCAAAATGACAGACAGTAAAGGGCTCTTGGTTTGTCTGAGAACAAACAGCATCACACACACACACACACACACACACACACACACACACACACACACACACACACATCCCCTCACATCAAGTGAAGTATTAACAGCTGGTTGTTGTCATGTCCTGGTCTTTTTATGTTCCCTTTTCAAGAGTTCAGCGAGAACTGGTCCTGTTCTATGGGTTTTTTCACCCAGGCGCCCAAGCCCGCTTTGTGAAAGGCCTTGATGAGCGTTTGCTTGGCCGTATGGTACTCCAACACTGCTTGTTTGGCTTCGTGGTACGAGCTGGGCTTGGGCACTTTGATTAGCAGAGTTGATGAAAGCTGCAGAGAGAGAGAAAAAAAATAGTTTGTGTTTGCACTATTTTGTAATATAATACAATACAAATTAAACAATATGTAGACTATAACATGAACAATACTGCATGCTTCACATTTCAAAGGTTGAAAGTACAATATATGATAGTTATAATAATACAACACGAAATATAATAATAATTATATATATATATATATATATATATATATATATATATGCTTCA